TGCAGTGACCCCGATTTTCGCGCGAGGAATCCTTAAAATGCCCCTTATTATTGCAATAGGGCCAAAAGCTATAGAATGGTTTGACTATCGCATAGGAGTCATTACTTTCCAATCGAACTAAAGTCATGCTGATTTATTAAGGTGTCCTATACGTAAATACTTGTTTATGTAGATTTTGATGGAAATTAAATAGATTTATTTGCATAAATCATTGAGGTATTGTTAAACGTGGAGGTTTCCGCCGCTGTTCCTCATTCTCTGTCTTATTGCAATTTTTTATGCAAAATTTTCCGTGATCCTGATAGCTGAGTGCGATAGTGCGCACGCAGTTTCATTAATCCTCTCATCTTTGAAGACGCAGTCCACTCTGATCGTAGGGGCGGAGCCATACCTACCATTCTGTCGTCCCTATTGGTGCGTTTTTTCCTCTTTCAAACGAGAAGTTGGAGATGCGCGAACCGATGAGGAAGGCCCAGTTGTCCTAGGATGGCCTTAAATCGCCTATTTGAGAAGCCTTGACTAATTGTAAGCGCTGAACTATTTGCTTGAGGTGGGCCCAAAAATGTCGACTTGTTTGGAAACCTCTACCCGACTACACTCCTGCCGATTTCAACGTGATGGCTCCGCAACCATTAGTTCGAGGGCAATTCTACGGATATGATGCATTAGGTAGGCGCAGGAATCAATCGGATCGGAAAAAACTTTTAAAAAGTCTTTCATTCATTGTCTCCGTCTTACAAAGGTGTCGGCAAGTTGTTTGACGATAGTGTGTGGTGTAGGGGTTATTGTAAAAAGAATTGTTTTTCAGGCAATTACCGTACTTTCGCTCGTCCACGCGATCATGGTGTGTCCTTTTATCGCGGTACAAACACCGTACTTGTCGATTGGCCGGAAGGTTTGTCTTTCATTTTCATTTCTTCCGTACCTTCACTCGTCCACGCTGATTGCATGGGCGGAGTTATACCTGCCACCTAAAGTGGAGTCACTAGAAGTGAGCCATCTAAGAAAATAGCTTCAGGTCGCTTTTTTCTAGGAAAAATCTCCGGCGCTACTGGTATTGAAGTGCCAGCTGTTGGTGTCAATGTGATCTACAACGCGTACGATATTGGATTTCCTAACCCTCAACGGGCTCTTCGTGAGCTTACAAAGTAAGTGCTAGTTTGTTGACTCTTTGGGCGGGGGGGGGGCTGGTGTAGCACAGCCACGCCTACGAGAGCCCACCAGCGGAATATGGAAAACTTGTGCTCAGCAGGACCTCCTACAAACTCCCTGGCCCCATCACAAACTCCTCAAAAGTTAGGTTGATCGGGGGGGGGTACCGGTCAGTCATCACAGGTAGTAAAATTGCCACGGTATAGATGAGGGAGGCTATGGGCCAATACAACTGCTTCAAGGCTGAATACCATCTCCTTCTCTCCCAAGCACCGGACCGCGGTCGTGGATCCCCGCGACGTATAATGCTCAGCAGGTCTATACCCGACAAAACTTTCGCTGATTACTACTACAGGGCGGATCAGTTGGTCGGTTTGGCAGCGGCGTTATCCCTGTTTGCCACCAATGCCTGCCATTGCCATGACTCAGTAAACCTGAGGCGGACGGAAAATAGATGCTATGCGTCAAACATCAAGACGAAACAAGCTATAGATTGCTTCTGACCTGTCACCATCTCCCCAAAATCAGTTTACCGGTAGGGAGACCTTCAGATCAACGCGCCGAAGTCAGGTTTACTGGAGGGAAGCAATTCTGAAACAGGGACCGGAGGGTGCGCACCGAAAAGCATAGAGTTTGACCGGAAGGGTACCTCTAATAAGCCATAGTAGGAAAGCGTCAAGGTCATGAGTAGGGAAGAGGCAACTCGGGTCAAATAAGACAACCTCGAGACTAAATACGATCTCCCTCACCAGCGACCAGATACGATCCCCGGAAATAAGTTCATTAGGGTAGGTCATCGTTAGGGAATTCTCAACGAAGGTCCCGCTCAAGACTCGTTATTAACGTGTTTTGTGACGTCAATAACACGTCATTCCTTTCCCAACAGATGTCCTGCCGGGCCTATTACTTGTGCTAAATCAGCGCCATATTTTGTATGTATCCAATATCTTAATGTCTGATTGTTTCAGGGATAACCCTGATCCATTGAATCCCGGAACTGGACGAAGAAAGAGCGTCTTGTCGCTGCTCAAAAGGACCTAATGATCTCGTGTCTTATGGAGAAATAAAGATTTCAAAACTTATTTCTTTTCATCACATGTCAAGCGTCATCGCCTTGTCAGCCTGCTTTTTTTCGAGTTCATGAGCGCTATCGCTTTCAATTTTCGTTCACGTTCCTCTACACTCGTCCCAGCATTCCGCTGCCTCTAATTGAGTATTGTGCCGTCTTGAGCCTAGCAATCAACCGCGAGGCTTTATGACTCGGTTAACTAACATGTTTATCGCACTTGACCTAATATTTGTGCATTTTCCGGATACGGTAACGTCGTGGAATGTGAGATCCCCTGGGGATAGGCATACGGGAGGGAAAAGTACGCGATGAGCTGTATGATGATGAAAATGGTCCAAAAGATCAGTCGTGAGGCGCGTGGTCAAAGCAGACAGGATGGCTTCAGCTTGGGAATATTCCTATAGTTTCATACGACCCATTAGACGATTCGGCTGTTGATCCGGCTGTCGGGTCGGCGACATAAAGCCTTGCCGCCGCCTTACTGTCTGTCGCGCTCTATCGCCTTACTGTCTGTCGCGCTACATGAGGAGGGCGGGCGAGCGGGTGTGCGTGTGTATGTGTGGATGATGTGAAATCACTGAGCCGAACTGAATCTTCTTCCTCGAAGTTTTCACAGACAAGTCGCCGACCGTCCGTTGAACGCCCATTTCATCAAAAAGCCCCGCATCGGATCTCCTTTTTTGTAAATGCCGCTCACGTTACGCGGCCACCTTTTGCACTGACTGCATGAAAACATGAAATGACACTTGAGAAACGGCCTGGCCTCCGCCCATTTGGAAATTGTCCGGAAAATGAGCGAGAGCTTGGAATCTGGTCGAATGGGGACTGAACACACTATGGTGTGGATAAATACAGGGGGGGCCAAAAAAAAAAAAAGTCATTTCGGCCGAG